TTTGTCAATTATGCATTATATTTCAATTATGAGCTAGATTTCTATTATGGTTCAGCTCTCAATCCATCCTATCCATCACTCTTCAACACTCAAGGTACCTATAAACCATGCCTATTCCCATATTCAACAGTAATAATGAATGATATTTCAATACAAAATTATTTACATATTAAGCTCTTTAATATTATTTAAATATAAGAAAAGAAGTACCATATTTATGTTTTTCATTTAAATAACTTTTGATTATAGTATTACTCTGACTTCCTTGCTGTTTCTTCTGTATTTCTGTCTTCCATTATCACCAAATTATGTGGTACAGATCTATTTCCAAAATTTTCCATGTCAGATTTCCTGTAATATACTCAAAATACTGTAGAATACTTTAGTTAATAACATTTCTTCTATTTTAACTTTATAGCGTCCTTTCCTTTATGTTTTCATTCTTCTATCATAATATTTGTTTAATGAATTCTATGGTATGTATAGAGTAAGGTCTTTGCTTATCTGTTAGCCAACATTTCCTTAGGTTATATTATCAATTCTTACATTTTCTTTATTTAATGAATTTCTTTATCTTACATTATTCCCAAATTTTGCAAAAAGAAATGTCCATTAACTGACTACATGGAAAGGGCAACCAAATGTATTATTCTGAAGTCTTTTATGTATGAACATACTTTACATGTGATTAGTACTTTCCATATCAATAGTCTTACATATCACTTCCTTAAAACTTTCTGCAGTATTGTCAAGATTCTAATGTTGCTTCTGAAAAGACATAAATACTTGTGATTCCTAAAATTTTATATATTTCCTTCCTGATTTGGAATTTTCAATTTTTTTCTCCATTGTTCTGTAATGTCTAAATGAGCACCTGTGTAGGATTCATAGCATCAATACATGTACATTATAATCTTACCCAAGGAAGGAATTCTACCCAGAGATTTAAGAAAAGTTTGCAGCATGCTCAATTCCTATTAGACAGTGGTTATATGCTTTTTAATATTGATATGTTTAATCCTTTTATTTCCAGGGTTGTATACTGACTATCTCTGTTAACAGCTTTTCTGATAATAAATGTAAGGTTGTTTGCTGGAATGTGGTTGAGAATTCTGCCTCCTCCTTGATAAGACAGAAGATCTGGGATTCCCATTTCTTTTAAAAATATTTTTTAATTGATAAATAAAAATTGTATACTAATTTACAGAACACAAGAAGACGTTGGTATAATTTTTGTTACTTATAACTTATAAACAAAAGTTGACTTTAAACATTATCTGTTTCCCAGGGTGTATGGTTAGGCATTATTCTGTTTCTCACAGGCCACAACTGCTGCCAGACAAGCTCTTCCCTCCAGTTCTAGTTGTTACTGAAATCCACTTCTTGTAAAAAGTGTCAGGGTATTCCAATTTTGATACTTTGAGGATTTGGGTAGTCTAACTTATGTCAGGATCTCTCCAATCATGGTTAATATTTTGACTTACTCTAGTAAATGTAATCAGTTACCATTACATCA